AAAAAAAAAAGGAAAGGGATGTTGTTGGATTTTGTTACAAAATTTTCTTGAAGTATTTCCCAGCTGACTTTGCACTGCATTGAGTAACCAGCCATGCAACTACTGCTTTTGCTCTCTTTTTCCCTTTTATTTTTTTCCTTTTCTTTTTCCTCCAGTTGAGTAGATTTTGACAGGACTCGCTGCAGTCAGACCACTGTAGAAATCGAATCAGCTCTTCAAAATTCCATGAATTTACCCCTAATTTGCATTTTCTGTTTTAGAAGAGAGAGGGTTGGGGACACGTTGCTGCAAAACACAGCTGCTGCTACTTCTCTTGTCAGTAGCTGCCACAACGGAGTAGTTCCTCCAGCTCTGGAAGCACGTGGCACAAGACCACAGAGTTTGATGGCACTGAGTTTTCCAAGAGGGACAGACTCTTGCTGTTTCTCTCTGTGCCCATTTGGCAGATTGCAAAATGGAGGGGGTGGGGTGGACTGTGCTGCTGGCATCAGGGAGCTTACAGCTTGTGTTAATGTTATCCTGGGTTTTGCTCATAGTGAAATAGTCCTCTTGAAATTGTTATGAAGGGCATGTTCTTGGAAGCAGCGCTGGTTTCTGATGGCTGCAGTGAGAAATAGCAGTTGGCTTTGTGACCTGGTTTAAAAAGATGCCAAAATCAGCTCTGTGAAGTGATTTTAGTATTAGATGGATACATTTACACTAACTGTGTAACAACTTTGGATAAAATAGTGTTGTCTCCCTATCATACATCCCTATGAGTGTTAATACAACGTTTCACTATGAAGGATAATTTCGCTGTCTGTTCTGGTGATTTATTCTGTTCACATAAGGCATTTTTTCTTCAAAAGCAGATGGCTCCTTTTCCTGATCTGATTTATGGGAATTAATATATAACAGTATTAAAAAATCACTACAAAATAGGAGGATAAAATGAATACAACTACTCATCTCCCTACTTTTTCTTCAATTTCTCTTGGATAACTATTTGCATTTCCTGTCAGTTAGCAATTCCAAAATGCAATATAAACTGCTAATAAAAATAGGTATGTTTTCTTTTCAAGGGATTGTATGAGTCCAGTGACCAACGTTCTTAATTTCTGCCAGTCACCTTCCCAGTTTTATTCATTTTACTCCTACTTAGTAAGTAAGAACAGCAGGAGACACTTTGGGAGTCTGTATATTTCTTAAAGTTGTTACCAGACAACAGCTGCTGCTCTTTACTAAGTTCCACTTAGTTTGCTGAGGTCACAACCTTGTGCACTAGGACATCCCACTTGGTTCTGAGCAATTTATAACTAATAGAGCTTTGTCCATCTAATCCAGTCATTTGGAGGGCACAGGACAAGCAAAATAAGAACTTTTCCCCATTTGTATTTCTACTGTGTGGCTTGAAGGCTTTCTGAATTGAAAGCTCTGCTTTTATATTTAGGGCTGTTTAAAGGCTATCAATTGTGCTAGAATGAAAATTGACTTTTCTGGCAGAGAATGTCAAAAGCTGCAGATAACAGGTACATTGCCAAAGCAAACCAAACAAACACACCAAAAAAGCTTTGGAGTTCTGCTTTCTGGGTGTTGTTCAGTTGATAACACAGCAATGCTCTTCATATGCTGAAATAGATGAAAACACATTTTTTTTCCTCCTATTAAAAAAAAAAAAAAAAAAAGAGTTTTTAAGGGTTAGCTGCAGCATTTTTGTTGGGAGACCATTAAGCTGAGTGGGGGAAGAAAACTTCTATGCAAGTAGAAAAGTGTTTTGCTGTTGATGTGGCATTCTAAATAATATGGTATTACACATTGCATTACACAGCAGGCACTTTAAATGCTTCATTAACCTCTTAGTCTGTGCTGAGGTTCTCACTGATGATATATTACTGTCCTGTGTATATAAATGTATTACATACACATGTACATAAATCACTATGTACTGTGTGCTGTAATTCAGTTTCTGTGCACCAAAAAAAATTTTAAGAGCTACCAGTTTTACTGGGATAACAAATACAAAATTAAATTAGAAACTTAGAGAATGCAGTGAAAATAGCATTTCTTTAAAAACTAAACAATGTATGTTCATATTCAGATTGTGAATGAATGTAAATAGAAAAAACATGGAGTAGCTGAGGCTAGATGTGGTTATTGTATGTTATCTATGTACTTGTCACAACAAATGTTTTTACATCTATTACAAACACTTCCAAAAGTTTGCACTTTGAGCTTCAAGCTCTGCGGAATAATATTTTTTCTATCTTTTTCTTTTTTTCCAGCACTTGCTACTGGCAATAAAGTTTGTCATGGCGTTTGTAATTCCTGATAAACCAAGAGAGATACAGATAAAGCTGGCCAAATTGGAATTTGAATCACTAGAGGCTCTCAAACAACAGGTAAGAACTACCGACCTATATAGAAGCTTTGGTGGCCTGAGGGAGAGCAAAATGAGAGAGATTCTGCTTTAGTTTTAGGTGAATAAATACGTAAATCCTGGGATGCTGAGACTCCTTTAGTGCTGTATTAAGCATATCCTTTGTCTGTGTGCTCCAGGTGCTGCTGTGTAACCTCTGATCTGTGGTATTTGTGTAGAACTGGAATGTCTAACGTAGAAGCTTGTGACAAAATGATCTCATAGTTCTGGGCAAACCAAGTCTGAAAACAGTGTCCTGCCTTTTCTAGTTATAAAAATCCAATTCTTGTGTGGTGGTGGAACATCGCTGTTGAGGTCAGCAATGTCTTTCATAATCAGCCATAACAAATAAAATCTAGATTACAGTTGAATGTAATGCTTGACAGTTTTCTTTTTTCTAGTACTTCGGTGTGAGGTTTCCAGGAGCTAGTCGTGGATCTTCTGTGCTTTTTAGATGATATTAAAAGGAGCAGGGCCACAATTCAATTTCAGTTATTTCTCTGATTTCATTTTGTAAGCAGGCAAAACTAGGTCATCCACAGGAACCTTAAGCTCAAGTGAAGACAGTCACCTTTGATTATGACATTCCAACTGGAATATATACTGAGTCTCTTTCAACATGAGTATATATGTCAGCAGTCAGGGCTTAATCTGAATTTCAGTAAGAACCAGAAGCCTGGCAGTTTTCATCTATTACTTTCAGACTTCTTGCAGAATTCAGGAAGAATATTGGCTGGTTTTTAGGTGCCTCGGTAGGTACTTTAAACACAGAAAAAATCAGCAAACAGGAATACCTGTTTAAAACAACAGACATACAAGTCTGAGGTAAATGTGCTGTGGTGTCATGTTGCTGAGAAACTGGTTTATATACTGTTCTGGAAGTGTGTAACACTCTTAATGCTATCCAGACTCACATATCATTGTGTTTTTCCACGCGAGCTTTACATTAAAAAGTGATCTCTGTTCTTTTGTTTGTTTGTTTTTCCAAAGCCTTTAGACCCCTCTGTCTTGGGATATAGCTATTAGAAGGATGCTAACAATATCAGACTGTAAATCTCTAAGATGCCAAAATAAATTATTAAGCTCCGTATGTAGTGTTTAGAGAGGGAACCTAATGCAGCTGCTTTGAGCTGTTGTATTGATTATGTTTGGGATCCTTAACTTTAGGCAGGGTGAGCACTTTCAGATGTTCATTAATGCTAAGATAATTGCTTTCTGCCTGGTGTAGTTGAACTGTAACTGTTCTGTGTTCAAATCCTTATAAAGACTCAGTGTCTCTTTGAAAAGGATTTCAGGGAGTACAGTGTTCCAGCTCACTGATAGAGACTAATGGTAATCATTAAAGCTTGTTAACTCCTATATGATGAAAAATGCTGTAATTCAAAAACAACATCAACAAAACACCAACATTTTACATGGGAGTACGAGCACTGCTATTTCAAAGTTCTTTCCAAACTGTCAATAAGAAAGGTTTTTAGGTAGTTCTGAAATGCTTCTCTTAAACGTTTCTTCATGCAGTTTATGTTGAGACTGTTGAATAGTTTGTAGTAATTTGATTTATTTTGAAAATATTTTTGATACTTTCAGTGTTTGTGGTCAGTGTCAGACAAAATCCTTGAAACTTTTAAATCAAAACTGGGGAATGTGCTCCACTGTGAAATTTGTTTCAGGTTTCCCATTTGACCTTCAGGCTGGTTATACTCTTACTTTTTGGGGGGGAGGGAAGGGTAAAGCAGAGAGTAAACTTAGCACTTCAGCAGCAGATTTGGGAGACTGTGGTGTGAGATTGCTGGAAGAGGAGCAGGAGCAATCCTGATTGCAATCCCTAAAATTCTGTCTGCTGTTTTTGTCACTTGGAAGGAAGCTTGGATGCTGAGCTATGAGAAATGGTCACCGTCAGCTACTGTGGTAAACATCGTGATCCCTCATTGTCATGGTTTTATGATTTTTGGTTATTGGTATTCCACATCATAACATCACATAGTGCACTGGAAGGAAGCTAACTAACTCTAAAGGAGGGTTAGACCTGCACAAGACCTTCTCCCTTCTCCCTGTAAAGTACATGCTTTACAGCTGTACTCAGTTCTGTTGCATCTATTTCTTGCAAGAGCAGAAGCATGCTATGTTATTTGGTCTAATTGCTATTTTAAGGAAGAGACCAAATAGTGGTGTGCTGCAAGCAGCAAGAGAACACTGGGTTCATTCTTGGGTGGTTCAGGAATGACCATATTTGTAGGGTTAGTCTCAGTGCTGTAAAACTAGTATGAGAACTGTACAGCTAGCATTTTTAGAGCAATGTTCTAGTAACATTGAAAGCTACATAAGTGTTTTGGCTTCTGGACAGGTTGAAGTTTAATGAGTAGACAAAAGAGTTCAGTGTACCCAGGCAAATCAAATGAGAAATAAATTGAAGCAGAATAATTGTTTGTGTCACTTTCACGCTCGGTTACTTTCTGAGCATGAAATACAGAAAGAACTCTGAAGTATCTTTTTAATATTGCTGTTTTTTCAGGAAAAAGTAATCTTTTAAATAGTGAGGAATGGTGTATCTTTTCACAAAGTGAAAGCAGCTACTGCTCAGTTCTGAAAGCTTTTTTATGCAGTATCTTCCATGGCAGTCATACCACCTGCTTATAACTGCTTAATGTTCTACAGTGTTCTGAATCTCCACAAGGAGTTACTTCAGTGCTTTAGACTGTGTTTGTAGTGCTCCTAATGATTTCCAACATAACAAATAATAACAACATTTCTAAAGCAAGGGTAGGTGTGTGACGTTCACTAAGATTTCCCCAGCAGTGTCATCCCTTTCCTGAAAGTGAGCCCGGTGGTCTCAGTCCCCTTTCCAGGAAATACAAAATCCAGAAGAAATTGTGACTGATCACAGCATCATCTCTGACCAGAGACTTCTTTAAAACATGACAGTGCATGAACTAGCTTTTCTGTTTGGAAGGGATGATGAGAGAATAGGCGGGGGCCTGCTGTCTGCCCAGGTGCAGTTGTATGGAGTGCCTCAGCTTTATCACCCTGCTTTTACAGGTATCGCATGTGAGAGTTACTATTCGCTCCAATAAAAATTGCAGTTTCAATGCTTTACCTTTGCAATTCGTTGCACTGTGGCAGCTCTACTAACTGCTGAGTGTTGTTCTTGTTGACAGCAGTGGCTAGACCTTGCTGTTTCCCCTGGGAAAGGTTCACACTAGTGCTAATCACATCTTTTCTCAAGGGAATACACCGAAGTTGAAAGTGCTGGCCCTCTGGCCACTGGCCTTAAGTGTCTGTGAGCACAGCTTTCTGTAGCCCAGAACAAACCACAGAAATACTGCTAACTTGGATGTTTCCCAGTGCAAGAAGACCCTTATGCTTGCCTGTTGTACCTCTTCAGAAAGCTGTTCTGGCAGAGGTTTTCCACTTTAGGAAGCGTCATAAGCATGTCATGTGTCTCAGAATGAGGCTGTGGCTGTGATGGGCCAACAGAGCTGCTTGAACTGTCAGTGAGTCACAGAAATGTCCTTTTTTTTTTTTTTTTTTCTGGGAGGAGGAGAATGGGAACCATTTTTAATCCTTTAACACTGGGAGAGTGTGAGTTGTGAGTGCTAAACATCCTGCTATTTTATTCTGCAAAATGGGAACTGGAGGCAGTTTTTTTTGTAAAGCAGCAACAAACTCAATGGACTACTGCCTCATTCAGTGTTACGGTTACTGGAATTAGAGGGCTCAGAAAAGGATGATCTGTAGCTTCAGGGCTGCCCTCAAAACGCTGCTGATCCAAAAAGCAGAAGCTTATTCTGCGCTTCTTGGCACTGCTGAGCGAACACAAGCAGTCAGTCAGGAGAGGTGACTGAAAAGAGTTCATTCAGCTCATCAAGAGTTTGGAAGGCACCTATCAGAAAGCCTGTTGGAAAGCCTGATGAAGTTTCGGGTAAAATGGTGGATTTGATGAATTAAAGTTAAAACAGACTGGGATGAAATAAAGCACCTGCTTTATGTTTTTTAACCAAAAAATAAAACAACAAAGCGAGCCTTAAAAATGGTATTTTTTGAAGAAACGGAGTCTCAATTTTTCCAGCTTCGTGACTGCTTTCTTTTAAAGGCCCCACTGGTTTTTGCAACCAAATGTAACTTACAGTGGATGTGAAAATAGAACTGTTACTAATAATTGTTGTTTGCTGGTTTGGGTTTGTTTTTTTTAGAGCCTGAACTTGTTAATTTAACTTTGCAAATGCGATTTTTCCCTAGTGAGTAGTCAGAATGCCTCCAAACATTTCTTAATGTGCCATTTGCATGTGTTTGGTAGCTGCAGGGATATAATGCAAATGTAATGCAAGATTAATTATATTTTCATACACAGCTCTTTAAACATTGGAAGTCTTACACCCTACAGGAGTGTGAGCTGTGTTCAAACAATTTTGGCAATGTATCTATGTTTTGAATATCAATACCTTAGTGCTGGTCTTTTCTTTGGAAAATACTTTTAATATCAAAGTGTCAGCAAAACCAGAATGGTGGTCCTTGAAAGAGAATAATACAAAATCAGAAGTCCATAATTAATTTGGGACAAGAAGTTTTTGTGTTCTCTGTTACGGCTTTTCATCTAGAAGTGAAATTGTACCAAGTCTTCCTAGTTCTGAGCTTCTCTAGCTTCATCTTTTCCAACAATCCCTTCATTCTCTGTGACTGTTGCCAAGGATGAAACTGTCCATTGGTTCTGTAACAGTTAAGTCACTCTGGAAAGGTGGCTCACTTGAGCTTTTTCAAGTCTGAGCTAGAGCCTGGTGCTGGAATGAGTATCAATCACTTCAGTTATCTCTTTTTGCCTGTCAGCCCAGATGATCTCAACAAGGAAACCTGGAGTAAGGGGATAGGATAAATCTAGGTTAAGGTTGTTCCTGCTGAAAGCCTGATGTAACCGCAGCATTCTTGTAGTTTCAGAACCCAGAGGGGTTCCCAATTGTATGTGAACTGGCTTGAATACAAGGGAAGAGG